ATCCTCCTGCGCTCAGCCTCCCAAGTAGTCTGCGACTGACAGGCATGTACCACCATGCCTGGCTAATTTTTCGTATATATAGTAGTTGGCCAATTAACTTTTTTCTATTTAAGTAGAGACAGGTCTTGCTCAGGCTGTCTTTGAACTTCTGACCTTGAGCATATTCTCACTCTGTTGCCCAGGCTGTAGTGCAGTGGTGTGATCATAGCTCACTGAAGCCTTGAACTCCTGGGCTCGAGTGATCCTCCTGTCTCAGCCTCCCAAGTAGTTAGAACTATGAGCACATGATATCATGCCTGGCTAGTCTAAAAATTTTTTTTGTAGAGACAAGGTCTTGCTATGTTGCCTAGGGCTGGTCTGGAACTTCTTTCTGGGCTCAAGCAGTCTTCCTGCCTTGGCCTTCCCAAAAGGATGGCTGGGATTAAAGGCATGAGCCACCACACCCAGCCATGAAATTTAATGTAATTATTTTATATACAATAACTGGAGAGAATAGTTTTTCCATAGGGCCTTTTAAGATGTAATTATGGTACAAACTCAAACTACTTATCCTCTGCCATTATTTTAATTGTGTGTTTGTTTGTGTATGTGTGTATAATATAGATATTTGACTTTATGCATATTGATTTCTATAATTGTAAAATCTTTTATTGTTATATACTTGAAGGAATTCCAAATTGGATACATGAACAGCAACCAAAGCCACTTTTTCAATTCTAGAATGAATTGAAAAGGGAAGAAGCTATGATTTGAATTTAAAGAGCACTTCATTAGATTTAAAAGTGGCTTTTCCTCCTTTTTTCAGAAATTTTCGTTGTGACTGTGGAAACAGCAAGTTTAAAAATTTGGAATGCAAATTATTTCCTGTAAGTAAGCGCTATAACTATAAATGTATTTAAAAGAGCTGAGGTTGATATTTGCCAGAGTGGGTAAAAAACAAATACCTGTATTTTCCAAAAAAGAAGTTCTTATTCTTTGCAGATGGAAGATATTTCCTTTTTTTCTTTTGTTGGAAAAATGAAAAATCCCATTTAGAGCCTATAATATAGATTGTAGTTAATATGAAAAGTTTGGGGGAAAATGTTTAACATGATTCAGGTTTAATTATGTGGTTGTGCTCATTCTCTGAGGCTTTTAAAACAAAGGATATGATTCAAAACTGAATAAATAAAAGTTGGTAATAATGAATGTGGGCTACAAACACACAGGACTTTTTTACAACTTTTTAACTAATAAAAATTATGCTTATACAATAAATTTCAGTGAAATAGAAATAAAAGAGAAAGAAATGTTATATTCAATCATAATTGTTAAAGCTGTCATCCTTTCCCCTTTTGAAGGTTAGTTTTAGACAACTTTTTGCTGTCTAGTAACCTGAGGATCTTGACTCTCACAGCTGTTTGTAAAGAAGTATTTTGAAATTCCAAGCCAATATCAGTTCACATGGTTTGATAATTAATATTTATGCTTAACTTTTATCTCCATTTTATTGAATGGGTATATTTAATTTCCTCTAATTGCTATAAAAAATAAATTTTAGTTTTTCCCTGTATCCTGGAAAAAGTATCCCTTTAATAGGAGTAAATTTTTCTCTTCATACTTTCAAAATTAAAGACCAGCTTCTAGGGGGAAAATATTTAGTGTAGAAATTTATTGAATGCAGAAATTTTATGATGTATGAAATTATAGTTAAAATTATACCACATTACATATTGAAATCAATGTTATATTTCAGGACAAAGCAAAGGTAAATTCTGGTAATAAATACAATGAGAACTTTTTTGGATTGTATTGCGTTTGCAAGAGACCCTATCCTGATCCTGAAGATGAGGTAAGAGAATCGGAGTTTAAAACCTAGGATTGTATGTATCATCTCTAGCCTTTAGCCTTGACTCTTCAGCCTCTTGTCATATCTGGGCCTCTGAAGCTCTTCAGGAAGGATTGCAGGATTGTGAAAGGGTTCTAGTTTTATCTGGGTTGGATCTACAACTGGTACAGATCTCAACTATTCTTCTCATTCTTTTTTTTTTTTTTTTTTTGATACGAGTCTCGTTTGTTGTGAGTGCCGTGGCGTCAGCCTAGCTCACAGCAACCTCAAACTCCTGGGCTCGAGCGATCCTTCTGCCTCAGCCTCCCGAGTAGCTGGGACTACAGGCATGCGCCACCATGCCCGGCTAATTTTTTTTTTTATATATATATCAGTTGGCCAATTAATTTCTTTCTATTTATAGTAGAGACGGGGTCTTGCTCTTGCTCAGGCTGGTTTTGAACTCCTGACCTTGAGCAATCCGCCCGCCTCGGCCTCCCAAGAGCTAGGATCTTCTCATTCTTATATCATAAGAATGAAATATTGAAGAGGACTTTCCCAAGGCCAAAACTTCTTTCCTTCTCCCTCTTTCCTGTCTGCCTACCCTGTCCCCTAAACACTTACTAAGATATGACCTTCCACTTCTTGCCTCCCTTGAAGGAAAGAAATAGGATTTACAAACTGCATCCCCTTAAAAATTTAAGTACTTCCTGCAGATCATAGTGGGGAAAAAAAACTTTCAATTAGAAATATATGCAGAATTTGATAAGAGTTCTTCTGAGGCCGGGTGCAGTGGCTCACGCCTGTAATCCTAGCACTCTGGGAGGCCAAGACGGGTGGATTGCTTGAGGTCAGGAGTAAGAAACCAGCCTGAGCAAGAGCAAGATCCTGTCTGTACTATAAATAGAAAGAAATTAATTGGCCAACTAATATATTTATATATATATATAAAAATTTAGCCGGGCATGGTGGCGCGTGCCTGTAGTCCCAGCTACTCGGGAGGCTGAGGCAGTAGGATCGCTCGAGTCCAGGAGATTGAGGTTGCTGTGAGCTAGGCTGATGCCAAGGCACTCTAGCCTGGGCAACAGAGTGAGACCCTGTCTCCAAAAAAAAGGAGTTCTTCTGTATTCCTGCACTTCTTACTTTCCCATAGTTAACACTTTTTTTTTTTTGAGACAGAGTCTCGCTTTGTTGCCCAGGCTAGAGTGAGTGCCGTGGCGTCAGCCTAGCTCACAGCAACCTCAAACCTGGCTCGAGCGATCCTTCTGCCTCAGCCTCCCAAGTAGCTGGGACTACAGGCATGAGCCACCATGCCCGGCTAATTTTTTTTTTTATATATATATCAGTTGGCCAATTAATTTCTTTCTATTTATAGTAGAGACGGGGTCTTGCTCTTGCTCAGGCTGGTTTTGAACTCCTGACCTTGAGCAATCTGCCCGCCTCGGCCTCCCAAGAGCTAGGATTACAGGCGTGAGCCACCGCGCCCGGCCTAGTTAACACTTTTTGATGTGTATATTTTAGGCCTTTTTAATTACACATAAAAGTGATTGTGTGTTTTAATGTGTAGTTTCCTTTCTTTTAACAAAAGTGAAAATTCTGTACATTCACTTCTGCAACTGGCTTTTCCTGGTTATCAGTATATCATAGACATTCTTTCAGGTCAATAGTACAAATCTACCTCCTGCAAAGTATAACATTCTCTTTGAATTGTCCTTTCATATCCTCACCCTATGTTTTGATTGGGTTGGGTTTTATTTGTATATTTACTGATTTGATAGAGTAATTTTTGTATTTAGAGAAGTTAGCCTTTTCCTTTTTCCTTTCTAATTGTCTTAAAACTATAATTATTGAACCAAATTATATAGAGGAACAAGTTGAAGTTATCTTTGAGTTAACAAAAATAAAACCTTAAAACTGGATATTTTAAGATATGGGGTAAAGTGTTATTTATAATACTATTGAATCAAAAGAAAAAATGAAATGATGAATAAGTTGATAAAGGCAGAAAAAAGAATAAAACTGCTTTGTGTGTATGTGTGTGTGTGTGTGTGAAATATTTCATATCTTTATTCTCAGATATGAAAACCTGAGAATAAAAGGAAAATCATAGTCTGTATCCTTTGGAATATAATTTTCCCAGGCCCAGCATTTAATTATTTAACTATTAAATTTATTTAAATTAAAGAAGTTGTTATCATCTGTATTATCAAGAGATTGTTTATAATGTTTACTTTTCAGGCTGGGCGCAGTGGCTCACGCCTGTAATCCTAGCACTCTGGGAGGCCGAGGCGGGGGGGGGGGGGGATTGCTCGAGGTCAGGAGTTCGAAACCAGCCTGAGCAAGAGTGAGACCCTGTCTCTACTATAAATAATTGGCCAACTAATATATATAGAAAAAATCAGCCGGACACGGTGGCGCATGCCTGTAGTCCCAGCTACTTGGGAGCCTGAGGCAGAAGGATCGCTTGAGCCCAAAAGTTTGAGGTTGCTGTGAGCTAGGCTGACACCACGGCACTCACTCTAGCCTAGGCAACAAAGCGAGACTCTGTCTCAAAAAAAAAAAAAAAAATGTTTACTTTTCAGTTTACTTGGCAGCATGGTGTGGTTGGTAAAAAGTACCAGTTGTTACATTCTACCTTGGTCAATTCACACTTCTTCTGTGGGCCTGGGTTTATGTGTAAAAATAGGGATGCCCTACTTCTCTATAAAGTCTTGTGAGATCAGCTATTAAGTAACTGATGTGAAAGAGCTTTGATAATTGCTTGCAAAGTACTTATGTCATGTAACCCTTTGTAACACCAGTTCTTGTAGAACGAATTTCTCTGTGTCCTTGACTACTATTACATGGATAGGGGTCTCACGGTGTTGGCAGAGAATTATTTAATATCCGATTCTACTGTGTGCTAGGTTTACTTCCACGTCCCAGCATTCAGTGTAATCTTTAACAAACCAACTTCTGTTCTCTGTTAGATTCCAGATGAGATGATCCAGTGTGTAGTCTGTGAAGACTGGTTCCATGGAAGGGTAAGGAAAACTTTCACCTTTTAAAGCCATTGTCTTCACAAAAAGATGGAGAATCTTTTCGTTTTGAATCATTATATTTTACATTATAATTACTCCTTTAAAAATAAACTATGAAGATATGATCTTCATAGATGTTGCAGTATTTGTTTATAAAATAATGGACATTTTGGACAATTTGACAATCATAGAAAAATATTTGGTTTTCTGTATTCACAGCATCTTGGTGCCACTCCCCCCGAGAGTGGGGATTTCCAGGAGATGGTGTGCCAGGCTTGTATGAAACGTTGTTCTTTCTTGTGGGCCTATGCTGCACAATGGGCAGGTAGGTGTTTCTGTGCAGTTGGTGTGCCACAAACTTGCACTTGTGAACTATGTATGTTCAACCCAGGATTTTTAGCAACTATTTTTTTTTTTTTTTTGAGACAGAGTCTCGCTTTGTTGCCCAGACTAGAGAGCTGTGGCATCAGCCTAGCTCACAGCAACCTCAAACTCCTGGGCTCAAGCAATCTTTCTGCCTCAGCCTCCCAAGTAGCTGGGACTACAGGCATTTGCCACCATGCCCAGCTAATGTTTTCTATATATATATTAGTTGGCCAATTACTTTCTTTCTATTTATAGTAGAGTCAGGGTCTCACTCTTGCTCAGACTGGTTTCGAACTCCTGACTTCGAGCAATCTGCCCGCCTCAGCCTCCCGGAGTGCTAGGATTACAGGCGCGAGCCACTGCACCCGGCCATTCAGCAACTATTTTTAACTGGACTCTGAGGTATAGAAAATAGTGTATGTTTCTTCTACGCAAGGTACTTACAGATTGGTTGAGAGACTACCAAGAACAAATTTGTACTTAAATGGCATGATGCACAGTAAGGATGAGACCAGAATTAGAGAAAATGGAAGAGGCAGTTTTTTTTATTTTTTTTATTTTTTAAAAAAGGAGAAATCAAGACATTCTCAGATAAAGAAGAGGCAGTTTTGAACAGAATTTTGAAAGATACATAGAATTAAAATAAGTTATATTTAAATATAAGACATGCTATTGGTTGGGGAGGGGATAACATCTTAGTTCATTTGTATTGCTATAAGAAAATATCTTAGATTGGGTAATTCATAAACAATAAGAAATTTATTACTCACGGTTCTGGAGGCTGGGAAGTTCAAGAACTGGGCACTAGCAGAATTGGTGTCTGGTGAGGCCCATTCCTCATAGACGGAGCCTTCTGTGTGTCCTCACATGGCAGAAAGGGTAAACAAGCTATACCCAGGTCTCTTTTATAAAGGACTAATTCTATTCATGAGGGCTCTGCCCTTTAATTTCTTGCCCTTTCTCACCTCTTGGGACCACTTCCCTGCACAAACCACAGGCAGCATAGCTATACCTAATGTCTTGTCCCATACTTTTGATTTGCTTCAAAGTTCTTTTTTTTTTTGAGATAGGGTCTCACCATATTGTGGGGACTAGAGTGCAATGGTGTCATCATGGCTCACTGCACCCTCAAACTCCTGAGCTCAAGTGATCCTCCTTAGCCTCCTAAGTAGCTGGGACTACAGGCATGCACCACCACACCCAGCTAAGTTTAAAAATTTTTTTGTACAGATGGGAGTCTCACTATGGCCCAGGCTGGTCTCAAACTTCTGGGTTCAAGTGATCCTACCCCCTTGGTCCCCCAAAGTGCTAGGATTATAGGCGTTAGCCTGGCCCTCAAAGTTTCTCAACTTGGTGCTCCCTCTTTTTGTTCATACCCTTTCCAATGATCTCTCTCTCTTTCTACAGACACTGGACCCATATGTATTTCTTATTCATTTGGTTTTCTTAATTGATTGTCCAGCTCTTTCTTCATTTCCTTTCCTTTCAGCAGATGGCTTTATCTCCTATTAAATGGAAATGTGGTCAGGTACGGTGGCTTAGGTGGGAGTATTGCTTGAGGCCAGAAGTTTGAGACCAGCCTGGGCAACATAGCAAGGCTTAGTCTCCACAAAAATTTTTTCAAAAATTAGCCAGGCGTGGCGGCATGCAACTGTAGTACTACCTACTCCGAAGGCTGAGGCAAGAGGATCACTTGAGCATAGGCGTTCAAGGCTGCAGTGAGCTGTGACCACTGCACTCCAGCCTGGGAGTCAGAGCAAACCCTGTCTCAAAAATAAAAAAAGAAAAGAAATGCCATCATCCAACATGAGCTACCTTACTGTTTCTCTTCTCTCCTTCATGGTATTTGCCTCTACACGCCCCCCTCCCCTTTTGTTTTTATTGGAGACAGGGTCTCACTCTGTCACCCAAGCTGGAGGGCAGTGGTGTGAACATAGCTCACTGCAGCTTCAGACTCCTGGGGTCAAGTGATCCTCCTGCCTCAGCTTCCTAAGTAGCTGGGTGTGTTCCACCATTGCCTGGCTAATTTTATTTTTTGTAGAGACAGGGTCTTACTCTGTTGCCCAGCAGGCTGGTCTCAAACTCCTGGGCTCAAACAGTCCTCCTGCCTTGGCCTCCCAAAGTGCTGGGATTACAGGCCTGAGCACCCTGTGCAGCATGCACTCATTGTTTTTGTTTTTTTTTTCCACTTTTTTTTTTTTTTTATTTCGGCATATTATGGGGGTACAGATTTTAAGGTTTCAATAAATGCCCATTTCCCCCCTCCCCCCAAAAGTCTGAGTCTCCATCATGACCATCCCCCAGATGGTGCACATCTCACTCATTATGTATGTATATACCTGCCCCCCTCCCACCTGCCCAATACCCTATTACTGTAGTACCTATGTGTCCACTTAGGTGCTACTCAGTTAATACCAGTTTGCTGGAGAATATATCTGGTACTTGTTTTTCCATTCTTGGGATACTTCACTTAGTAGTATGGGTTCCAGCTCTAACCAGGAAAATATAAGATGTGCTATATCACCATTGTTTCTTAGAGCTGAATAGTACTCCATGGTATACATATACCACATTTTATTAATCCATTCTTGGATTGATGGGCACTTGGGCTGTTTCCACAGCCTTGCAATTATGAATTGTGCTGCTATAAACATTCGAGTGCAGGTATCTTCTTTGTAGAGTGTCATTGGATCATTTGGGTAGATGCCTCATTGTTGTTTTTATTTATTTATTTATTTATTTTTTCACTGCTTTTTATTTCCTCCTCTCATAAAAAAAAGCTGGTTATTTTTTCAAAACTACTCTTCCACCTGTGTTCACAGCTAAATCTTATCCTACAGTATATTCTTTTCTCCTTTATGTATAAAGTGCTTATGTAGTGACTGATGTTTTCAAACGAACTGTTCAATTATTTGAATTCTTCAGATTAGGCAGGCATAACTTAAAGAAGTACTGATATTCCTTTCTCCTTATTCCAGAGATTAAGGTTGACTTTTCTCCTTTTACAGATTCTGGAATATTTTAAAATCAGAATAATTGATTTTATTGTCTGCTAGGTCTGTGGATATGTGTATATGTGTGTGTGTGTTTTTGTTGAACCTACAGTAACCAAGATATCTGCTGAGGATGATGCTTTGGTACGGAATGTTGATGGAATAGGTGATCAGGATGTTACCAAAGCTGAAAATGGAAATCATCAGGATGGTACCCTCAAAGAGGATGTTCCAGAACATGGAAAGGATGCCATAAAGGAAGTTAAAGCAGAGCAGAATAATGAACCATGTACTAGCTCTAGTTCTGAATCTGATCTCCAGGTAATATATGAAGTACAAGCCTTAAAAAAATGAAATTTAAGCAAAATTAATTCTGTAAGCTCTATAGCTTTGGATTTCATTTGTATTCTTTGCCCAAATAAATCTATTTACAAAATATAAACTATGAAACTATGATAGTTTAAAAAACACACTTCAGAACTTAATTTTATTTCAGACAGTGTTTAAGAATCAAAGCCTCAACACGGAGTCACAATCAGGCTGCAAACTTTTGGAGCTTAAGGCTAAGCAGTTCATAAAGAAAGACACTGCCACCTACTGGCCCCTGAACTGGCGTAGCAAGTTATGTACCTGCCAAGACTGTATGGTAAGTATCTTATCTTATTAAGTTCAGTGTTAGTGTGTTTTATGTACTGATGCCCAAAATAAGAACATCTGAAAAATATATTTATGGAATTAATATAGGAGTGTAGGAGACTTTCAAAATTTTTATGCTAAGCAAATTTATGAAACAGTACTTACAGTCTGATTGATTGTATAAGAAAATAAATTGTGCAATAGTTTTCACTTATTTTTTTTTTTTAAGAGACAGAGACTCTGTCTCCTGGGCTAGAGTATAGTAGCATCATTGTAGCTCACTGAAACCTCAAATTCCTGAGCTCAAGTGATCCTCCTGCCTCAGCCTCCCTAGTAGCTGGGACTACAGGTGTGAGCCACCATACCCAGCTAATTTTTCTATATTTTTGTAGAGATGGGGTCTAACTCTTGCTCAGGCTGGTCCTGAACTCCTAGCCTCAAACAAACCTCCCACCTCAGTCTCCCAAAGTGCTAGGATTATAGACATGAGCCACTATGCCTGGCTACTTATCTTAATATTAGTAGAAAATAGCAATTTTCTACTTATCTTTTTTATATCATAGAGTTGCTTAGAAACGTAAATTGCTTGAAAGTTATAGTAAATCGGTGGTTTTAAAATAAAGAGCTCATAGATCATACATCTACTAACAGTTGGGAGATTTCTGAAAGAAATCTGGGCAAAAAGAATTAAGTCTTTTTGGAGGGTGGGATGGGGATGAGGTGTAAAAACTTACCTATCAGATACAATGAACACTACTATGGGGATGGGCACAGTAAAAGCCCCGACTTAAGCATTATACAAAGTATCCAGGTAACAAAGACATTTCTACCCCCTTAATTTTTTTTTTATTTTTTTTTATTTCGGCATATTATGGGGATACAGATTTTAAGGTTTCAATGAATGCCCATTTCCCTCTGCCCCTTAATATTTTGAAATGAAAAGAAGTTCTTCAAGCAACTCTGCTAAGAGACTTTAGTTTTTCTAGGTGTCAATCTAAAAAAATTAAAATTTTAGTAATTCTCATGAAGTTGACTTTCTGAGAATGATAATACAGTTCTAATGGGGAAACTGGTTTATTTTTTAAAGAAAATGTATGGAGATCTAGATGTCCTGTTCCTGACAGATGAATATGACACAGTTCTGGCTTATGAAAACAAAGGCAAGATTGACCAGGCAACTGATAGGAGGGACCCTTTAATGGATACCCTTAACAGCATGAATAGAGTCCAGCAAGTTGAACTTATTTGTGGTAAGTACTGTTAGTGGAAATTCATAAAGTTTCCTTCATTATGGAAAAAAAAGGTGTATAAGGAGGGCAATAAACACCTATATTTTTAATTTAATACAAAGAAAATTAAAAATTTGAATTGTATAGTAGGACCCAACTACAGATGCTTGATTTTCACATTGCTGAGTATTTAGCTACTATTACCATTGCATCAGAGTTACATGCTAGAATAATTACATGCTTGAGAAACCACAACTTGTGCTATTTTGATTAAGGGTAGATGTAATGAATAAAGAATAATAGAAACATTTTCCATCCATTGAAATAATTTTCTTTGAGCACTATGTCATCTTTTTGAGCAAAGCATGTCATCTTTTTGATAGTTCTTGAGGTTGCTTCAGCGGTTCACAGAAAACCACTAGAGGGGAAAATATCTCCTACCCTTAAATGTAGGCTTTTATGTTTTCATGCCGGCATGCCCAACTTACTTCCATGATTTGTAAACCAGCCAGTTTCCACTCCCATGCCACCACCTTTCTGTTTCTTTTGTGGCATTGATCATTTCTGTCTTTTATTTGTAACTTTGACTAATTTCCATTTCCATTTATTAGACTAAAAGCTTTTTGAGGATGGAGGCTGCATCTAAAAGATTTTGTAGTCCTTAAGATGCTTGCACATAATATAAACTGTTGAATGAATGAGTTTTAAAATTTAATGTTTAATGAGTTTAAGGTTATTTCAACTACTATAATTCCAGAGAAATAGAAAGCCCTTTAAAAAAAAATCTTAGCTACTCTTTATGGGAGTAAGGATATCTCTGCTTTTTGAGGGTTTTAAAATTTTATTTTATTTTTATTTTTTAAAATTGGGTACAATGAACACTATTCTGGTGATGGGCATACTAAAAGCCCAGACTTAAGCATTAAACAAGGTGTCCATGTAATAAAAACATTTGTACCCCCCTAATATTTTGAAATAAAAAAAGAAAGAAAGAAAGAAAGAAAGAAAGAAAGAAAGAAAGAAAGAAAGAAAGAAAGAAAGAAAGAAAGAAAAAGGGTCCCAGCTATCAACATGGAGAAAGTCCAGAGAAATTGGGAACAAGTTTCTATGCAGATTTCACTTAAGAAAAATTTGGTTTAAAGGACAGTATTAAGTGATGAAATGTCAATGACAAAGGAATATTTTGTTTTGAAAACAAATGGCTTATCTTAATTTTAAGTACCTTTGTGGTTTTGATTTAGAATACAATGACTTGAAGACTGAACTTAAAGACTATCTCAAGAGATTTGCTGATGAAGGCACGGTATGTTGAATTAAAGAATTTTAATCATAGCCCTGTAAGTTTTAAATAAACTGTTTATTTGCTTTGATGATAAAAAAATGACTGTGCAACTTAAATAGGGTACTTGAGAGTTTCTCGCAGAGACTGCTTATAGGAGTATTGGCAGGCTAAGGGAAAATCATGCATGGGCAGTGAATCACCAAGGGTCAGGAGTCCTTACCTGACTCTAGCTGGGCCAGGAGGAAAGAGGACTGGAGTTGGAGCAGTCCCACAAGATCCGAAGAGAGTAGTTGTAGCTTAGGAGAAGATTGGAAGGACTCAAGGATACTAATTCTGCTGACCTTGACCTTGAAGCATGGATCCTTGGGAGGGTAAGGGAGAAACAACTGGGCAGGAAACCTTAAAACTAGACCCATTTTCTGCGATTTTGAGTTCCATACTTTAGAATAGAAGAACTTTATCATTGGGGCTAAAAAATTTCTCTTGCTAGTAAAAGAGTCTGTACTTTAAAAGCTGACTCTAAAATGTGTAATGTCTTAAGAAGGATTCCAGGCGGGGCGCAGTGGCTCACGCCTGTAATCCTAGTACTCTGGGAGGCCAAGGTGGGCAGATAGCTCGATCTCAGGAGTTCAAAACCAGCCTGAGCAAGAGCAAGACCCTGTCTCTACTATAAATAGAAAGAAATTAATTGGCCAACTAATATATAGAAAAAATTAGCTGGGCATGGTGGCGCACACCTGTAGTCCCAGCTACCCGGGAGGCTGAGGCAAGATAATCACTTGAGCCCAGGAGTTTGAGGTTGCTGTGAGCTAGGCTGACGCCACGGCACTCACTCTAGCCTGGGCAACAAAAGTGAGACTCTGTCTCAAAAAAACAAAAAAAGATAGGCTTCCAGGTAAATTTACAAATACCTGTACTTCCCACTCCTTTCCTATTCATATGTTTGTGACAGAATTTTTTTTTTCTAAAATATTTTTCTATCTTCCAAAGGCAGATGCAAAACAAGATTTAACTTTTCTCTTCATGGCCTAAGGCTGTTCTTATGAACAGGAAATGTTTTGCTTTGCTTAAGGCCAGATATGGGTCTAAGGAATACCCAAGAAGTTCCCTGAGACTTGCTTTCTTGGAAGAAATCTCTCCCAGGGTACTTTAGGTCATTTTCTTCTTTCTCATAAATATGGCAAGAACATTTAGCTGCCCAGATTTCTGGACAAGGTCACGGTGCTGCCTTTCTGCAAAATGAATGGTAGACAGGGGTTAAAAGAGCCTTCTCCTAAATGTTTTTCACTATCATTGTGAACATTTCCTACTTCCCCACCATTCTTAAACTATAGTTATTCTCATTCCTGCTGTAAAGGCTATTCTCTGGTTTATGTAGACTCAAGCTTCTTTCTTCTTAGAACTAAGACTGTTCATGGTGTAATGGGGGACTTTGCCTCACTGTTTAACCTCTGCACTATTAAGGGACATTGGAGATGTTTCAAATAGTGTCCAAGCACATGCTTTTGCCCCTGGGGCTGTTGCCTCTGTTCCTATGCAGTTGGTGGTTACAGTGCATTTATTAATTTTATCTTACACATACTTAAAATCACATAAAAAATTAGATAGATATGTTGTCTTTTTTCATTTAGTTTTGAGACTTTTATTCAAAATGGTTAACAGAAAAAAAAAAAAACTCTGTAAAAATAATTTCAAAGAAGTTGCTCAGAGCCAATATGAGTGACAGTGGCCTGAGGATCCATAAACCCCTGAAGCCTGAGTAGTCCGAGGCAGCCAGGTTACAATTTGTGTTTACATTTTAGGGAGACAGGAATTGTAGGTAAAATCATAAACCAATAAATGGAAGTTATACAGTGGTTTGGCCTGAAAAGGTGGGACATCTTGGTGGGAGCTTACCAGTTATCGGTAGGATCAGAGATTCTTTGATTTGAACTTGTTTAAAGAAATAAAACTTTGTGTAAAGACTGGGAATCAACCAGCCTGAGCAAGAGCGAGACCCCATCTCTACTAAAAATAGAAAAAATTAGCCGGGCATGGTGGCGCACACCTGTAGTCCCAGCTACCCGGGAGGCTGAGGCAAGATAATCACTTGAGCCCAGGAGTTTGAGGTTGCTGTGAGCTAGGCTGATGCCACGGCACTCTAGTCTGGGCAACAGAGTGAGACTCTGCTCTGTCTCAACAACAACAAAAAACAGGCTGGGAATCAGTAGAAAGGAATACTTGAGTTAAGATAATGGGGTCTGCTATCTGCCTTGTTATGAGACACCAGTCAGGTTGGAAAGTAAGCCACATTATGCTGACTTGATTTAAAAAAAGTTTCAGGAGATTTTATGGTTTGTAAGGCATGACTTAACCTTTGCCTTGCCTGGGCTTAGGTGCTGTTTGTCATTAGTTTAAACTCCAAAGGGAGGGGATAGGAGGAGGTGTGTTTGACCTCCCTGCCCATCATGCCTGAGAACTCAGTTGTAAGTTTCTCTGGGGTCCCTTTGCCCAAGAGGGGGTCCATTCACTTGGCAGGGGGCTTAGGATTTTAGTTTACAGAGTCTTCATGGGCATCTTCACAACCTAGGACCTTGTTATTACTGGAGTCACTCTTTGTGAAGAGAGGATGTTTTTATCTGATGTGATGATTTAAAAGGATAGCAAAATGTGATTTTTTTTATTGTTTAATCCTTGACATTATTAACTAGATCTTTACAGAAAAACAAATGAAACCTTAAGTTGCTTTAATACTTGTCTACTCTGGTTATATTTGTCCACAGGGCATAATGTAAGTAAGTTTTAGATGTTCTCAGATGACGGACTACCTTTTATTTAATGTTTGTATCTTACCATACCAAAAAAACTACAAATTTTCCGAGACAAACCAATAAAATGATTTATTACTGAACTCAAGTATTTATTCATTAACATTTCTACTCTGCATGTTGGCTGTGACCATTTGAGGACATGTGGAAACCAAAACTTGCACACTCTAATTTGTGTGTTGTTGGGTCTTCTCACAATATCCTTGCCAGAGATATTATTTCCTTTTACTGGCTTTTGGTAGTTAATATTTGTAACCCAAGGTAGGGACAGATCCTTCATTTTGGAGCTTTCAAGTGTCATATTCATTAGCATTTTATAAGTGGAAACTCCCAAGCTGTTTAGCAAAGTACATTAGAGCTTTGAGCTGCAGGTATTTCAGGATGTGTCAGCCATCGAAATCTTGAATCTGTTGGGGTTCTAATTCCTTACTGATTGACCAGCAGTTTTACTCTTGGTGCTTGTAAAGCTGATGTAGCAGCTACCAGTCTGTAGCAGAGTACTGACAAAATGTTAACACTCTTTCGCCTACAGAATTAAGAAGTATCTTACTCCATGAAAATTATTTCAAGTTTTTATTGCCATTTGAGTAAGTTTGTAGCACTTACTCCTGGGGAACAAGAGCAGGAGGTTTTCACTTTCTATATCTTTCTTACTTTCTCTTTCTCTCTCCCCGTTTGCTCACAGGCATTCACATGCTCTCTCTCTTTCTCTTTTTTTTCCTTTGAGATACACACTTTCACTCTGTCACCCTGGCTAGAGTGCAGTGGCATCATCATAGCTCACAGCAACCTGAAACTCCTAGATTCAAGTGATTCTTCCGCCTCAGCCTCTGGAGTAGCTGGGCACAGGCCACCACACCTGGCTAATTTTTAAAAATTTTTTATAGAGACAGGGTCTTGCTATGACAGGGTCTTGTTCTTGCCCAGGCTGGTTTTGAAATCCTGGCCTTGAGCAGTCCTCCCACCTTGGCCTCCCAGAGTGCCAGGCAGATTATAGGCATGAGCTACTGCCTGGCCCACATGCTTGCTTTCCTTTTTCTTCATTCTCCCTGCCTTACCTGTCTTCCTTCCTAACAATAAGCACGTGTTATCTTTGTAATTAAAACATAGATTAACAAACCTGTCTCTTATGGCTCGTAGACAGCTTTTCAACTGATCACCTGGCATAGACTCACTTTTGGGGTGAGGAGGGACTCCTGGGTTGTCGCACTTTGCTTTTTTAATCCATATTTTCCCCATGCATTATTTTCTTATTTTTAATTTTGCTACTATCATAAACACCTTTGTATGATGCTCTTTTTCTAATAAAATAGAAAAGACAATTTTCTCCCCCCCCCTTTTTTTAGAGATGGTTTCACTCTGTCACTCAGGCTGAACAAGAGCGGTGTGATCACAGCTCACTGCAGCTGGAACTCTTGGGCTCAAGGGATCCTCCTGCCTCAGCCTCGCGAGTAGCTGGGACTACAGGCCCAAGCCACCATACCTGGCCAATATTTTAAATTTTTTGTAGAGACAAGGTCTTGCTCAGGCTGGTCTTGAACTCTTGGCCTCAAATGATCCTGCCTTGGCCTCCTAAAAGTGCTAGGATTACAGGCATGCCTGACCAATTTGTCATTTTTATTGAACAAAAGAGATTTATTAAAAATAGTGCTTGTAATTTTTTTCCAATTATTTTTCTGTTTACATAGCAAACACCTTGAATTTTATATTTCTCAAGAAAAAAAGTATATCTTTTTTATTTTTATATATATATTTTCCCAAAGATGAATAGGGAAAAGTGTTTTTTTTGTTTTGTTTTTTTTATCTTCTCTGCTGTTGGTAAAAAAGAAAGCACAAATCTCAAAGGAAAACCTAGTTTTTCTGTGAGTGCTTTTGCAGAGTTGTAGCATGTTTCAGAAAGACAACTGTGGTAAGGAGCACAAGTAGTGAGCTGAGGAGACCTTTGGCATCCTCACTTTGTGTGCTGGCCCTGCCACTCTTTTTATTTTTTTATTTTTTTTTTGGCATATTATGGGGGTACAGATTTTAAGGTTTCAATAAATGCCCTTTCCCCTTCTCCCCCCGACTCTTCTTTTTAGCTGATATTTATTGAGAACATACGGCATGCCAGGCATTATAGCTCATCTGATCTTCAAAGGCCCCTTTTAGATAGGTGCTGCTTTTATCCCATTTTGTATGGGGAAACTGAGATCGGTGGTGGAACCTAAGCTTTGAACCAGTCTACTTAGCCGTGTGACTCTGAACACGTCAGCCCCTGTGAGCCTTGAGGAACCTTTCTATAGCATGGAGATGGTCTAACTAATTACACATTAAAGTAATTCTTAGCAGCAGTGTCATTTGACTTGTTTATGAATGCTGTGACCTTTTATTGCTGTTCTGCAACTTAGTTCCCTTTCCTAATCTTTGCTTTGCTTTCAACAGGTTGTTAAGAGAGAGGACATTCAGCAGTTCTTTGAAGAATTTCAGTCAAAAAAGAGAAGAAGAGTGGATGGGGTGCAGTATTACTGCAGCTAGAGTGGAGTGTGAAGCCTCCTCCCTCAGGCTAATGAAAATGCCACTTCCTAGTCTAGGAATAAAAGAGGCGTATTTCGTATTCGGTCCCCTCTCCGTCCTCCTCTCTTTGGAGAGGCCGCCTCCTCTGGCCTCCAGCTTCCTTCCTTCTCCTTAACCATAGTCGCCACAGTGTCCATGCTGATTTCACACCCGGCATTCTTTACGACCCAGCTACATGCAACTCATTCCCCAGACTTCAGCCCCCCACCCCAGTACACACAGGGTTATTTGCTTATATATTTTCAGATGTTTGATTTGAGAAAGCAAATTGATTTTTTTTTTTAATGATTTGTTCTTTAACTCCCAAATATGTGTGCTTTGCCACAGAGCTGTGGCCGGCCAGGCCCTCCTCTGTAGGCATCACAAAAGGTACTCTTCCTGTCAGCTAGAACTCCGCAGGTCCCTCACCCCTGTGGTCGTGGTGCCTTGGCTCAGAGCTTCCTCAGGCCCGTCTGCTCCTCCCACGTGCCTGCTCTCTGCGGTTTGGTCATGTCTTAGAAGGGATCTTGGAACTTGGTTTCTCTGGGCCCACGTCCAGAGCAGCCAAGACTGATGGTTTTCTAGCCTGATGTCTCTCACAGGCAGGGAGATTGGCTGATGACAGGGTTGAGGAAGCAAACCTTTGTTACGAATTTTACTAATAAATTTAAAGTGAAATTTTCACTCATGATTCTACTGGCACTAGAATACTAGAATTTCAGTACTGTAGCGCTCCCAGGGCTTCCTGGAGAAAATCTGCCAGTATACTAGTCCCTTTTCTGCTGCCTAGAAAACAGACCGGGTATCACCCCTGTGAAATCTTGGTAGTTTACGAAGTCCTCTGGATTTCTTTATATTATCAGGGATATTCATAAGCATATATTAAAAATGGACCTATTTTGATATTGTTCTATTATGAAAATGTTATTAGAACCCCAGTAGATTATTATTTTTTCCCCTTGAATCTGTGCTGAAGAAAAAAAGATACTGACTTAGCTTACTTGATGAGCAGGGCAGTGACGGCCCTGTCTTGGAGGAGACAGATTCTGTGGGAGGAAATTCCAAGCAAGGCCCGAGGCTGCACGAGTGAGGTTATGTGTGTCGGTGTTACTGTCCACAGCTGGTCCCTAGTGACCATGACATCTTCTTTTGAAGATCCTCATGAAGTGTTGTATAAAACCCCATATCTGAGGGGAAGTCCTTTCAGTTGATCTGAAATCTCTTTAAAACCCCAGTCTATGTGGAAAACACCTTTTGATAAATATAGAGCCCTCCAGTCGCTCTTTCCCTCGGGAGGAACAAGGTCTTTCCTGACAGTAGGTGACATATTTGAGGTGTGTTACCAAAAGCATTTCAGGCTTTGGAGCCACACATGTATGTTACTATTCCTTTTGTGTCCAGCAGTCGCGTATCCGAGTGCCCACCAATCCCTAGACAAGCTGAACTTGGCCTATAAAAGTCAAGGCCTCAGAGAAATGGTACAGCCCATGTGTTTTGGCATTCAGCCTCTTTGAGAGCCTCGTGAATTGTGGGGTGTGGCGCTGGAAGGGCTCGTGGCTGCGGGAGATGCCCGTGTGCCCCGAGCCAGCCTTGTGGGGAGGGGCCGGTTAAAAGGCTCAGGGTGTCTTTGAGGCTGTTTACAGTCAGCAGCTTGGGGACGCTTCCAAGTCCGAGGGTGTGTTGAACCCCCTCTGCAGGGCTGCACTGTTCCTGTACCATCAGCCCTGAAAGTTTATATCTTCTCCAATGTCTGATTTAACTACCAGAAAGTTCCTCACTTTCCTATCACAGGTCAGGACCAAGTCTCAGAGGTGATGTGTTACGTGCAGCACAATAGTCCCGATTACCCCAGTGCTGAAGGGCTCGTTTTATGAAAGGTACTGTTCCTTCTTTCACATTAACCAGAAAACCTCTTTTTTACCTGTTGTTCACAACTAGTTTTCTTATGACTATGTTGGACCGTCTCTGCTTGTAGAGACTGATTTTGGCCAACATGTGGCAGTTAATATTAATGCATGTTTTATGCAAAACAAAAATATGATGTTAGTTGCTTGTAAGGAATTCTGGCATTGTATGTGCATTTTTGTAGAAATTGTTACTGGACTTATGATTACATACTTAACTCCAATCAGGTTTCTGTAAAATTTGAATAAAACCAATTGAAAATAGTTGCTTTTCAGATTGTTTTTAATCACATTTAAGTCTACACACCTCCTTCTGCAGGTTATAAGAAAATGAATGTAGCCGGCCACAGTGGCGGGCACCTGTACTCCCGGCTACTCGGGAGGCCGAGGCGGGAGACTCGCTTGAGCCAGGAGTGCGAGGCTGCAGTGCGCCTCGATCATGCCTGTGCGTAGCCACAGCTGCCTCCAGCCTGAGCAACACAGCGAGACCCGTCTCTTTGAGGAAAAAAAGAAAAGAAAATGAGATAATATGAGTATATTCTAACTGGTATTCCTGCCCTGGAGTCCTGCTCTCCAAGCAGAGGGACTAGTTCAAGATGTCGTAGTTCATTATTCTCCTGCTGTTGTGTAAAATGTCTGATCTGAGGTCCCCTGGGCAGAGCTCCTTCACCCCCACCTTCACCACTCCTGGAGGGAGGGGCCATAATTCCTGCCGGGGCCTAGTGGACGGCGCACAGAGCGACGGGCTGGGTGGCGGCCAGTGCGTGCAGGAAGGGCCGTGGGCAGAAGGCAGGGCTGGGAGCCCACAGCCTAAGGAGCAGGTGAGCTCCACCTACACGGTCGCCATTATGTCCAAAGAAAACATAAAAACAACCCAGAAGCCAGTGTAGAGGCCCATCATTGGCCTCCCCACAACTCTTGCTTCCTTGAAGGTCACAGACTTGGGGGCATCACCCTGGTGAGATGAACTCAGGGGAAAGGAGCGTTCTGTGTAGTCCCGGAGCCGCCCGCACAGCGTAGTCGGCGCCGTGTAGTCATCAGCACCAGGGGAACCGCAGTGCGCCCAGCTCCCTTAAAGGACCCTGGCAGAGCAGAAGAAAGTTGAAAGAGCAGTCTTGTGGGCCAGGAAGGGGCCTAGGCCAGCCCCATTGAGGAGAGTGCCTTCTGGGGAAGGTGAGAGTTACAGGAAACGTACCTGGCAGAAGCCCGGGAGCCAGCAAGGCCACCTCCCAGTCGGGTCACCTTGAAGCTGCTGCCAGATGCAGCCTTGGTCAGAGGGGCATCCAGCACCAACCCCTACAGGCCCCTCACTTCTGCCCATGGACCAGTGGGCATTAGATGGGTGTTTGCTCCATACTTCCAATCGCAGCATCCCTCAATGGGAAGAGGGCTGAGAAGTCACCCAGCCCCCTCTCTCAGGACAGGAGTCCCTCCCTGTGCAGAGGACCCTCACAGGGCACTGGTCTTGTCGGCTTCCACACCTCCATGCTCTTGTGGGCAGTGCTGCAATGTTCAGCTAGCTCTCCGCCCCTCCACCTGTCATGTGGTTGATAGACATCAGCCATGCCCATTCCAGCTGCGGGCACAAAGCCTGTGAGTGCCAGGGGTGCCAAACTCAGGAGGAAGCCAGTGTCCTGGCAGGCAGAGGAGAGAAAGAAGCCAGGTCTTTGGTGATTCTGGGCATTGAGCCACTGGATCAAGCCTTGTCTGAAGCTCATACAACTAATAGACTCATCCATAGCAGAGAACACTTGTACAGGTCCCTGGCTTCTGCTTTTGAAGCCCAGCGACAGAGTACTCACTACCTCGCACAGCACTCATTCCCAGCTGTCCTGAGCCCTGATTTCTTTTCCCGTGGAAAAAGGCCGGAGGCCTCTCCTAGACTTGTCCACTAGCCTTCCATCCACATCTTTGCTCTGGCCGCCTCCCAGTGTGTCCTGCGTGGTGGGAGTAGGGGCTGTTCACGGTCCTCTCTGGCACCTGCTCAAAGCTCTGCCCTGACTCCCCCACTGGGAGACCCCACTTGGGCTTTCCCTCAGCCATCTTTCCTCCTGTGTGGGGCCCATGGTTCCTGCCACTCTCTTTCCCTCCCACATGGCCCTGCCTATGTCCCGGCTTCTCATCTTTTTTCATTTTTTGAGACAGGGTCTTGCCCTGTCACCTGGGCTAGAGTGCAGTGGCGTTATCATAGCTCACTGTAGCCTCAGACTCCAGGGCTCAAGCGATCCTCCTGCCTCGCCTCCTGAGCAGCTAGGACTATAGGCTTGTGCCACCACACCCAGCTAATTTTTCTATGTTTAGTAGAGATGGGGTCTTGCTCTTGATCAGGCTGGTCTCTAACTCCTGGTCTCAAGCAATCCTCCTGCCTCGGCCTCCAGAGTGCCAGGGTTACAGATGTGAGCCACCGCGCCTGGCCTGGCTTCCCTCTCTTGCCTCCGCCTTAGGCCTGAAGGCCCCTGGACTCAGCTGCCCAGGAGTACTATGAACCAATCGCGAAAGACCCACAAGCAACTGTTTATTTGGTCTCCTGTCACTCAAGGGGCGGTTCATGGAGTGAGGGAGGCCGCTGGGTGGGAGGCCGCTGGGTGCCCCGAGCCCCTGGGATGAACCCCGTGGCCTGTGGGCTGCATTTCCTTCCTTCCTCTCACCCAGGGGCAACTCAGTTCCCGCTGTAGGAGGCCAGCTGAGGCACACAGCGGAGGGGTGGCCATCTCAAGGTCACAGCACCCCATGTGTGGGTCAAGGGACTTCTCACCCCCCACCCAAGGACACCTGGCCCCAGTAGCGGGCCTGGAGCTGTGCACAGGACGGGGCAGCATCGGGGAAAGGAGCTGCTTTAGAATGACGGGCTCGCCCCCTACACGGTTCACTCACAGACGCTGCAGAGTCACAAGTCACTAATTTCATTCCCGGGGGCCCTCCTTCATCCATTTGCAGGTCAAATGCTGCTGACTGAGGACTCCTGACCAGCGTCCCCTCTCACTCAGGGACCTCTTAATTACGGGCGGGGAAGAGGGAACCTATCATGATGTGGCTAATCCTCAAATCGCCATCTCACTTTGGAACAGCACTTGGCCGCGGTGGTAATAACGTATTTGTGAGTTTATTTGCTAGTATCTGTGTCTTCCCCACTGAACCATAAATGCTGTGAGGTTGGGGACTGTCTTTCCTGCCCTTTTCAGAGCTCTGCGGCCTGGCAGCCTTTGGGAGGCTGGGGGCTGCTGCCCAAGCCCCCCTTGAGCTGCTGGGAGGCTGCTGACTCCCTGGAGCTTGTGCTGTGTGAGCCTCTCGGGGACAAGAATCCATCAAAGCCGTGGCCACCAGGGGAGACGGCAGCGTGTGTGATGAGTCCTAGTAGGAAACTGGGCATGGAACCGCCACCCTCCCAGTCGCAGGCTGAGGCCTTTGAAGAGGAAGAGTATGGGAGGAACAAACGGTTTTGTCCCGGCACAGGACAGGCTGAGTGAGGAACGGGGGCGGGTTGGCTGGAGGTCCCCGCTGGGCACCTGGGGCAGGGGTGCGGAGAGGTCTGAGGCCCAGGGGCCGAGGCTGGGGTAGGCCCTTGGGAGTCAGCGGCACCCACGGTAACGAGCCACGGAGACGAATGACCCTCCTCTGGGGAGGACGTGACAAGTGAGGAGGAAAGAGGGCCTCGGACAGACGCCCGGGAGGAGCAGCGCGGAAGGACAAGCTGGGAAAGAGGAAGCCGAGCTGCAAGCTGAGAAGAGCAGCCCCAGCGGGAGCCGGGAGCCCGCTGCAGGCGCTGGGGTGTGGGGCCGACTTCGTGAGAGGAAGAGCCGGGAGAAGACAGAATGTGGTGGGGCAGGAGGGTGGACCTGGCCACCAGACAGGGCGCTGGGAGGACAGGTGAGGGCGTGGTCTGAGACCCCAATGTGGAGCGACTCTCATCTGAAGGCCTTTGTTGCCCAGAGAGGTGGAGGGTGAGGCGGGAGCTGGGGGCAGCTTGGAGAGGAGGGGAGGGCGAAAGTGGCCCCAGGGGGAACAGGGCCAGGCTGACCCCGAGGGCCAGGCATGCTGAGGCCACAAGAGGCTGCAGCCATGGGCACAGGAGGCTGGGGCCATGTGGCTGTCCTCAGTCTACCAGCACAGGAGATGGACGTGTCCACTATTTATGGACAGAGTTTGGCCAGGACGATGGGTCACAAGCTGAGTAAGGTGAGGTGGCTGACACCCGTGGAGGGCAGAGGCCGGAAAGACAGAGGAGAGGCATCTGGGAGGACCCGGCAGGAGGAGATCTGGCCTGAGAGCAGGAAGGGAGGGTAAGATTTCAAAGGTGGAGCCCTCTGGGGCCAGGGGAGGGCTGTGTCACAGAGGAGGGGGCTAGATACGGCCCAGGCTGCTACCAGGGTGACAGCAGGGCTTGGACAGCGGGGACACTGTGAGGCTGGAGCCAAGGCCTTCAGGGTGAGAGGAGTGACTGGGGGTGACAGAGGGAGACCATCACCCACCGCCATTCCTGACCCGGAGTCCGTGGAAGGAGTGAGAGGAGCCAGTTCCTGGGAGAGGCTGAGTGGATGTGGCGAGCTGGGCCGCAGCGGGGGCAGGGGGCAGGAGAGGAGGAGGAGGAGGAGTAAGAGGAAGGGGTGGTGGCAGCGCAGGGACCCCAGCAGGGTGTGGAAGCGTGGGTGGGGTCAGGGACCCCCACTGGAGTCCAGAGGGCTGAGTGGGTGACGCAGGGGAGTGGGAGTGGCAGGCACAGGGGACAATTGACTGCAAGGTTGCAAAGAGCACAGTCCCAGCAGCCCCTGGGGGTTGGTGGGACGCTGGGGGGACACTGAAGTCTCTCTGGGGTCACCTACACCTGCACTAACCAGGGACTGACTCCTCAAGGGTTTGGGTGGATCTGCCAGAACGTGGAGAGATGAGCACAATTACTTTTAGTTCAGTCACAGAGGGTAGGGAGGCATTTACGGTGCATCTGATAGAAGATTCCAGAAATGGAGCATACTCCCACAGCTAGATAGGTTTGAGGATGAGGGACTTCAGAGTGTACCAATGTCAGGAGGAGCCCGAGGACGTGCAGCAGCCCTTGCAGGCAGGTGTCGAGGAGGAGTTTCTTTACCTGACAATGGGAACAGGAAGGCCTGTTGCTGAGGCTGACGTGAGGACCGTGAGCAAATACAGAAAGTCCGTACCCAGCGCTCAGTAAGTGAGCTAACGTCACCTCCGTTTTAAGGATGAGGAGACTGAGGGTTAGGGGATGTACCGCAGGTCCCACAGCCAGGACCTCGCCCAGCAGGCCC